TGGCGCCAGAATCTCTTCTGAAAGTTAGGACTTTCATTTTCAGAAACAACTGCGTTTGTAATAACAATGCTAATGCGCGGTGAAACAACAGCGAAAAATTGAAAAAAAATCAAAAAAATACTCGACGTTCATCGGAAAGAAATTTCAAGTAAAGTTCTGTCACTTGTAAGTGTAGTTCATAGTTGTCTAGGATATATTCAAAGACACCCCAAACAAAAAAAATAAATCAAGATAACACTAATAAAAATGTTCTCAAATTTTCTGGCCCAGAATATTTTAGCTACCAAATTGATTGATAGCCTTTTTCGAATTTCACTTCCAGCTCCTCATTAGTAATAAGCTTGAATCCATCTATTTCTATTGGTTGACATTTACAGTTTGGAAACTTGTCCTTCAATATTATCTGACAACGTTTTTCTTCCTTACTACCGAAACGAAATAAATTTTGCTAAACCTCCACTTACAACTTTTTGTTTTACGCCAGCGTAGACCTCCCGTGGATTATCCCGTGGACCCCTGGGATCCCACCTGGTGGACCACTTTGGAATCAGTGATATAGCTAGTGATACACTTTCGTTGAATTGTTTTTATAGCCATCCTCAAAACGAATACGAAAAAATGTCCTGTCCATTCGAGAAAAAAATGCCACACAAAGATAAGCTACGCAAATATCGTGAATACGCTAGATACAGTAGCGGACAAAAGTTTGAAAACAAATATTAACATTATTATGAACTATACTAAGTGACATATAAATCCGAACAGCCAGTTTAAATGGTTTTATTTTAATAAAAGTTAGTGAATGTATTTATCTTACTGTAAATAACAAGTGAAAAAATTTTCAGCCTTATCAGTTGGACATTCCGGTTTTTATACTGCTTTTTTTTAATTCACTAACGCTCTAAAAATGAATATTTCAGCCGCAGTAAAGAATCAACGTTGGCGGATTTTGGTTCTTGACATCCTTTACGATCGGTTACGATGCCTAGAGTACGGAGACCTGTACGATTTCGTCAACTTAGTGAGTTTGATAGGGGCCGTATAGTGGGACTTCGGGAAGCTGGACTTTCTTTTCGGGCAATTGCAGTTAGAGTGCAAAGAAGTGTAGACACTGTGGTTAGGTGTTGTCAAGGCATGGCTTCGAGAAGGCCGTACGCAAAGAGCAAGTGGCACTGGACGCCGCCGTAGAACAACAGAGCGTAAAGATCGCCGCCTAAGATTATTGGCCTTAAGGGACCGTTTCTCCACTACCAGGTCCATTGCAAATGAATGGTTTGCAGAACACGGAAGACCTATTGGCATGCGAAGTGTTTACCGACGAATGAGAAGTTTTGGCTTGTTTTCGTACCGGCCACACTGGGTCCTCCCTTTAACTCGAGAACACCGACGTAATCGCCTTGAGTGGTGCAGACAACGGTCACTCTGGGATCAGGAATGGAACAGTATTGTCTTAAGTGACGAGTCTCGATTTTGTTTAGGCATGCACGATGGTCGTGCCAGGGTTAGAAGGAGACGTGGTGAAAGGAGGAATCCACAGTTTTTTGTTGAAAGACATGTTCATCACACTGTTGGAGTTATGGTTTGGGGTGCTATAGCTTATGGTTCCAGGTCACCTTTAATCTTCATCAGAGGTAACATGAACGCGCAGCGTTATATCCACGAAGTTCTAAAACCCCATCTTTTACCCTATCTTGACACCCTGGCAGATCCAACTTTCCAACAAGATAATGCCCGACCACATGTTGCAAGAGTCACAATAGACTTCTTTCAACATAATGATGTCACACTGTTACCATGGCCACCAAGATCTCCCGACTTATCCCCAATTGAGCACGTGTGGGATATGATGGGTAGGAGATTGCTCAATTTGCAACGTCCTCCTCAGACTGTAGAAGCACTTCGAGAGGAGTTGGTGGTTGCCTGGAATGAGATACCACAGGAGGACAATGACCACCTGATCAGAAGCATGCCTAGGCGCGTTGGAGAATGCGTAGCACATCAGGGTGCATCCACACATTATTGAAGGTCAAAGGGCTTTAAAGCAGTGCAATCATTTTGAAATTTTTATCATTTACTTATTATGCTTCATTAAGTACTTATACAAAATTTTATTAAAATAAAACCATTTAAACTGGGTGTTCGGATTTATATGTCACTTAGTATATCCCAAACAGACGTCTGTAAAAAATTGGAACGATTTATTTAATGGAAAATCCATATGTGCTCATTTTTTTACGTTATTTTTTCGAAGATTTTCTCGTAATCTAAAGGTGGAAAAACGAAAATTTTTGTTGGAAAAACGTGGTAAAACACAAAAATCGTATGAAGCATCGTTTTTTAACAGCCCAAAATTTTCTAGGCTAACTTCACAGATCTGTGAGTTTAAGAACATTGTTCCTTTACATAATTATAGATCACTTCTAGATCCTGGTTTATGAGTGAGGTAGGGTTTTAATGATTATTTGGGTGAAATTCGGGATGTTTCTTTTTTTCCAACTGCAACACAGACTCCATCAACCGATCTGCAGCAGTACCAAAAGGCCTTTATCCTCTAGTGATGCGCATGACGGCAACGTTGCACCGACATCGGCAGCCTGTTGGTCGTTCTGCAAAGAGTTCAACGTACCACCGCATCGGGTCACCATACACTCAGCAGCAGCAGCGCGGTCGGACCACAGCATTTTCTAATATAATACAGCAGCACAACTCGCTGAAAATTACGCTTGATTGTTGGGCGAATTTATATGACCTTCAGAGCTCGACACGCTGCCAGGCGCGATCGCGGGCTACACCTTTCAAGCCGGAATAGTGTTTTTTTGAGCAACGTTGCCAGATTTACTAATGTACTTGAAAATATGTGGCTATACCTACAGGATGACTTTGAAGTTGAGTCATATATTTTAACAGTGAGTAGATCTGATCGAAAGAAATGTTTTTTTCCTTTAACATTTTTCTGGTAAGATTAAAGTAACAAAGTTATAGCCCTTTAGAAGTTTGAGTACCGCCCTGTCTCAATAATAATATTATGTGCTCGTGTTTGGCAACAACGGATATAATCCGCCTTATCGGTTCATCGCATCGGAAACAAAAAAGCGAAAGAATTTGAAACGCTTTTCACGATGTTTTTACTACAATTTTATTCAGTTGTATTCAGTCAATGTGTCAGTCGGTAACGCGTGAGTGAATAGTGGTGTTTGTTGCGTGGCACAAACGAAATAAAAAATGGCACATGTTTACGAAAATGCTGAACTTGTGGACATGATTCTTATTTACGGGGGGGGGGTCTTTACAAAATGCTGCCGCGGCATCACGGATTTATGCGGATCGGTTTCCCAATCGAATGCAACCAACCCCTCGTGCTTTTGTTAATGTAGTACAAAGGGCTCGTGAATCAGGTGACTTAAGACCTCACAGTGGAGGGCATGCCGGTGCTCCAAGCCCGCACGATCAAATACAGGTCCGCACTGAAATACTTGTCGGGAGGATACTTTATAAAACAAGGTTACATTTTTTTTATTTTTTTTTTATTTTTACACACATATTTTGGTTTATCTTCCTTCTACAATCATTATCTGAAAATTAATGACTCAACTTCAAAGTATACAAGTATAATTATATTATTGAAAAATCGAAATTTGCACCTTAATGATGTAGTTATCGATTTGATATGACCATCTTCAAGATGCTATTGATACTCAGAACGTCGCCGTCGTCCTCGATGTTTCTTTCCATCAGAGCTCCGTATGTTTGTTTATATCGTACAAAAGCCGTCTGGTTGAACACAGTTGAAGACCTAGACAGCCCCAAATTTTGCAAATTTAGGAAGAGTGAACAAACTCGTGTCTTTGAATCGAACAGCGACAACTTCAAGCACTGTTTAGAAACAAAACATGTCACAGGGCAGTACTTGAAATTCCTTACCAAATAAATGAGCATTTTTCTTTCAATATCTTTTTTACGTTTTCGGTGTTGTTTTGCCGGAAATTAGCTTTGGTATTGAAAAGGAAACTTTCAGGACTGTATAAAATCGTGAATCCTATTGCTGTGACAAGGGTATTTTTTCTTATTTATTAAACTCCGACCATATCCATGTCTACCAAGGTTAGATTCCTTAGTTTTAGCTAAAACAAAAATGCTGTTAAAAACTTACAATACACATAAACTGAAGATAGGATGTTGCGAATAGTCGGCGTGACGTCACTCACTGAGTTGGAGTTCTCTTACCCCATTTATAGCGTACGTTTTTGGTGGTTTTCTGAGTTTTTAATCAGTTCTACGCAGTTTAGTTTTAGTGAAATAAAAAAATGTGGTCTGTTGTGGGGTATGATTCGGACAATAAAGTTAAGTGAAAAATGTCCCTTCCTATATGGGTTTAGTGCTAGTTGCATTTATCATGAAAATACTGTAGAGAATAAAGTTATCTACATTTGCTTCAAACATTTTTTCATACAATTAATCGTTTTTGGGAAGGAGGACGGATAACGCGCAGCGCTTAGCTATTAACTTACAGCATATTATGAAAAATGAGCTTTTGTAGACTCATGTGATATATGGAGTATTCTTGATATGAGAATTAGGAACCCATCTTACATAAATCGTATCTTTTTTCTCTAGTTTGAGAGACATTTTACAAAATATTGACCAAATTCACTAGATTTATTGCTTAAAAGACGCCTTATCATTGGTCCAATTTGTGTCAAATTTTGATCACCGCTGGTCAATAGGAAAATCGGGCCTAACACAAAACATTGTTTTAAGCAAAGCTATGAACTTTCAATCACGTGTTGTATCTTTAGTGGCATGTTTAAATTGACAACCAGCTTGCATGCTCGGGTTACTTTATTAGTAAAACCACCTACATGATCCGCAGGCCCGCAAGGCCAATTTAGAAAATAAGCCTTGAACGTATGGATTAGTTTTAAACCTTGAAAAATTTGTATACTGTATCGTCGGGCGTTGCGCTGCTGTTTTGTGTTGGATATGCTGTGGCCCAGTCGCACCGCACAATGATCATTGCGGGCGGTACGGCGACGACGCGTTGCGGCGGCGAGCGGCAGTACCGCGTCGGACGAGCCGACGTCTGCTAGCGAGTCTAGAAACGGCCCCGGGGACGAACCCTGTGGCGCATCGCCGTGTGCCCTGACGGTGTGAACGGCCTTTCTGGCTAGCGACGTTGCCGCATCTGCTGCAGCAGTGCAATGGCCGATCATGACGAATGACGGTGCATCGATGATGCCAAGTTCGAACGTCTTTTCGGTTTTCATCTTGGACGAGGAGAAAATCGTTTGATGAAATGTTCAAAGTCGGCTTTTTCATGATCACGTTTAAACTAAACATGAGTTCTTTCGTCTTTTTTGGCTAAAAATTGTTGAATTTTATTTAGAATTTTTGGTTAAGTAATGAGCGTTTTGCTAACTTAAGAATCCACTGAATATTAGTGCCTTTTGTGTTCTTTTCAAATCCACTAAACAAAATTTAGAAAATTTTGACCGATCTTTTCCAATTTTTGTCATTTTAAGTGTAGTAAATCATATGTTGGCAAACTTAGCCTCGGCAAATACATGTACAGTTTTATCCATATTTTCAGGTTTTCTGGTCCAAATTTTGATTAGCCTCCGTGAAAATTTCGAAAATAGGAAAAACCGTTTTTTTTCGCAGATTTTCTTTATTTTTTTAACGTTCTTGCTCAGGAAAGGAATCCTTGGCTGACACAGTAATCCCATTGTATAGATGTACTGTTTTGCGTTATTTTCAGTTCCAATGTCAAAAATCAAATCCAAGCGAATAATCAAAATTTCTGTTATGTACCGCGGTTATAATATGGTTTAAGATGACACACGGGTTGATGACGTCTGTTGAACGCGTTGGTTTTAACCGCGGTTTTGTTGCAAGTTGTAATTTCGTATATAATTTCAGATTATTTTTATTATCATTCAATAATCGGTGCTTCTTCGTCTACAACAGTGTATGGAAAGTTTAAAAAATAAACCTTTCATAATATTAATGGGAGAAATGTTTTTTTTTTCAGAAAATACTTTTTAATGATGGAACCATGGCTTTGTAGCTATGATAACTTTCAATTCTCTAAACTTTTCCGCATGTCAAAGAAAACATTTATTGATTTACCAGGAGATAAACATAAAAAAAGATATTAGCAAAACCGTATACAGGTGGACATTATCCAGTGGTTTATATGGCCATATTTTAAAATTCTTGTGGTATATGGCTACACAGGATACTTTGTTAAGCATAGGAACTAGATTTAAAGTGTCCCCAACAACAGTACGAGGGATGTCTTTTAAGTTTTGCATATAGAAACACAGTAGCGGATCGAACGTCAGTACTGAATCTTGACGTCACTCTTCAGTAAACTTAAATTCACGGTTTCACTACAATACGTGCAGAGTTCTCACTACAGTGAATTTTTAAGTGCCACCAAGTCATTAGAAAAATGTAACTCAACCGAGAACATTTTCGCGCCATAATTTATTACAAATTTCAGAGACAATTATCGCAACAAGAATGCCTTGCTGAGTTACTGTCTGTTTTCGGCAACGAACCGCCACATCAGTCGATAATTTCCCGTTGGAATGGAGAATTCAAACGTGGACGGGTGAGTCTCAGCGACGATCCCAGGTCCCAGGGTGGGTGCACCAAAAACGGCAGTCACCCAGGAAAACGTCGAAACTGTGCGCAAACTCATCATTGAAGATAGATTGAGGCGTCCTTGAAGATCTCAAGACCTCAATTAAAAAAATTTTACATGAAGAATTAGGAGTAAGAAAATTAGTTTCTCGTTGGATACCCCACCTGTTGACTGAAGAGCAGAAAGCAGCCAGAGTTCATTGGTGTCAAAAAACGCTTGACTCTGGAGTTGGGTAAATACCATAATTTTGCGGTGATAACTATGACATATAACAGCTGATTCATGACGTCACGGATCTTATAACCAAACTGATAACCACACTCGCTTGAACGGATCGGTAAATACCAATCCAAATTGGTAAATACCATTTTCGTTTGGTTATTCGCTTAAATTTGATTACAATACTGATGATTGACCGTGAAATTGGCAAGAATCGGAAAAATCGATTTTTCGAATTTTAGACATTTTTCGAATAGGTCGCCATAACTGCGCTAACTCAAAAACTCAATCCACGCATATGTGTGTAGTGCGTTTTTGAGTTAGCCAAAATATCGAAAATTGAAGAAATTCAGCGAAAATATGTTTTTTTTTTTCACTATTTCCGGACCACGAATCACCATTTTGACAATATAACCTGAAAAGACGCACAAAAACACATTTGCACATTGGGTTTTTGAGTCATATTAGTTGCTATGTCACAAATCGAGGAAAACCGATGAAAATGCTGTTTTTCCGCATTTTGTCGATTTTTTTGGCCAATAAATTAATAATTAATTAATAATGGAACTAAAAAGAATATAGAAATATTCAAATTATACAGTGGGTTACTGTTTTAGTTAAGGCCCGTATCGTCAGTCGTCCCTAAAATTGTAAGGCGCGTTTATGGCCTCCTTGATTGTCATAGTTTTCTAATTTTCCATGTCAGCGCTCTATTTTGAGGTTATCTCACAAATATCTATTTGCATCAAATTGTGCATGCTTTTGATTTATATCATGTTTTATCAGCCCGAAATTTCCTACAATTTAAAAAGAAAAAATATCTTCACAATAGGAGAGTGCTGACGCTGACACAGAACAGGTGCAATCTAGAAATTTTTGAAGGAGAGAAAAGAGTATGACAATCAAGGAGGCCATAAACGCGCCCTACAATTTTGTAGGGACGACTGACGATACGGGCCTAAGTATTTCACCCTAAACAGAAATGTGAAAAATTGTAGATCAGCGGAATTGCGGTTTTTGCTATTTTCGCAATTTTCCCGGCAACAATTTTGACCACGAAACGTGAAAAAACTCACAAAAATACATACGCGCATTGAGCCTTTGAGTTACCCAGGTTATGATATCCTAGACTAAAAGTACCTAAAATTGAAGAAATAGGTGAAAACGCGGTCTTCCGATATTTATCAATTTTCCGGCCAAGAAATCATTATTTTAATAGCGAGACTGAAGGTAACGTAAAAATGTGTATACACAATAGGTTAGTACGTTAGCCGACTATTCCAAAAGTGTCAGAAATTGAGAAGGATCAGCTAAGAATGCGGTTTTTTCTATTTTCACTATTTTCCGGGATAAACTTACATCCTACGTTGAAAATGTAAACAATTGAGAAAATCGGCAAAGATGCGGTTTTTCGATTTTTGGAGGTTTCCTGGAAAAAATTCTTGATTTTGTTAGTGGATCTGTATTTTCAAGTTTGTGAAATCCTCATTACCTAACCAAAAATTGTAAAAAGATTTAATTTTTTTTTACAACCTATAAGTTCTACAAATACAACAATATATAGCATCGGTGTTTTTTTCAAAATTTGTCGAGTAAAATTACGCGCGTAAAAAATGTTCACCTATCGATCTTAACATTTGGAATATGCCTCAATTTGGATCGATCCAGATTTGTGGACAATTTACGTATACGAGCCCCTTCCCACTTCACTTGGCCCACTTCAAGATTTGTACCACAATATGCCTTTATAAACTAAACATGACGAAACTATTTACTTCTAAAACAATTTATTTTCTCAAAAACATTTTAGATACACTCTAGTCGTAAAAAATACATATTTGAAATCACTTAGACCTATAACTAATAGAACATCTGAACAAATAAACAATGTGCGAATAAATGCGCGAAGTTAACAAAGCAACAATTGAAAGATTACCATTGGGTAACATCACCTTTATTTTTTATTACGGCTGAAATTCTTTGGGGCATAGTGTTAACGAAGTTTTGTCAAAAATTTGGTGTAAAACAATCCCATATTTCTTGAAGCTCTTGTCTCAGTTCGGTGGTTGTACGAGGAGGATGTTGTCGTAGAATATTTTTCATCTCGTGCCACAAAGTTTCAATAGGTGACAGATCTGGACTGCTAGAAACCCATTTCAAAAGTGGTACATTATTTTCTTCCATCCATTTTATAGCCTTTTTTGAGGTATGGCACGCTGCACCATCTTGCTGAAACACAAAATCTTGGTCGGTTGTCAAACATTCTTCCATCACTGGTAAAAGCGATTCTTCTAAAATTGCCAAATATTTGTTTGTATCCACAGTTCCATCAATAAAATGAAGTTTTCCTACTCCTTTTGATGACGTACTGCCCCAGACAATAATGGATGCTGGAAATTTCACTTTTCTCTTCAGACAGTCAACATGGAATGCTTCATTTTTTTTGCGAATAACTCTACTGCAACTGTCACCAACACAAACTTCGAATCGGGCCTCATCACTCCATTGTATTGCACACCATTATTGAGGTGTCCATTGTCTATGTTCTTTAGCCCATCTAAGCCGATTTTTCTTTTGCAGTGGAGTTAATAGTGGCTTTTCTTTGGCCTATAAACAAGTTGTGCAACTTTAGGGTTTTTACTTCACTTTTTTTTTATAAGAAAACTTACCTTGCAAATGCTAAATCCCAGTTTGTGGACCTCTCTATGAGTTGTGGACCTAGAAATGCTCCTTCCAACACTCCACAGAGCACTTAATTGTAAATAATTGGTACGCCTGTTTTTCACCATTTTATTCTTGTTAATGCTCTTCGGTCGGCATTTGTGATATTACTTTTTTCACATATCGTGGCTTAATATTAACTGAACCAGCTACGTGATATCTTCTAACAATATTTCTCACACTGTACTGCGATAAGTCTAACATAGTTGCAATTTCTGAGTTTGATTTCCCAGAATTAAAAAGTTAATTATCAGTAACTGAATTTTCTCACTAATTACCATTTCTCTACTCATTTTGAAAACTACCCAAAACTACCTGTATTTTAAACGTATTCTGACAGCTGTGATTAGTAAAAAAAACAATTGTCATGGCTTTTATTTTTCACAGCCACCTATGCGTTATAGACTTATTTTGCATTGAAATGAAAATAGGTTGATATGTTGTAATTTCAACATGTGTTATTTTTATGCTGCAAATTTGATTACGGAGTGATAAAGTTGGTGTTTTCTACTATATATTATCAAAATATTCATTGTTAATATTTTAAACCTATAACACCCTGCTACATTTTTATTATTTGTGTTTGATAAGAAAAAAACTAATATTTCAATAGTTGGGCCAACTGAAGTGGGAAGGGGCTCGTATGTAGTTTTGGCTGTGTACACAGATCCAACGTGA